ATCTTTCCACAGATGTAATGGATTTGATTTCTGTGTATTCCATCTGGCAAGATCCATGTATATAGTCCCCATTAATGTGTTGGAAGAGGTATTTATAATGAATATGTCATTGGAACACTTAATTATATTCATGAGGAACCTGTACATAGACAAGGAGGCTGTCATTCGAACAGAACAAGGTGACATTGCGTGGTTTAAAATCAAGAAGGGAATGCATCAGGGTTGTATCCTTTTCCCCTACTTATTCAATCTATATGCTGAGCAAATAATCCGAGAAGCTGGACTATATGAAGAAAAACGTGGTATCAGGATTGGAGGAAGAATCATTAACAACCTGCGATATGCTGATGACACAACTTTGTTTGCTGAAAGTGATGATGACTTGAGGCACTTACTGATGAAGATTGAAGAACACAGTCTGCAGTATGGATTACATCTTAATAAAAAGAAAACAAAACTTCTCACAACTGGATCTGTATGCAGCATCATGATAAACAGAGAAAAGATTGAACTTGTCAAAGACTTCACATTGCTTGGTTCCACAATCAATGCCAATGGAAGTAGCAGTCAGGACATCAGATGATGTATGGCACTGGGCAAGTCAACTGCAAAGGACCTCTTTCAAGTGCTGAAGAGCAAAGATGTCTCCTTGAGGACTAGGGTGTGTCTGACACAAGCCATGATATTTTCAATTGCCTCATATGCATGTGAGAGCTGGACAATGAATAAAGAAGACGGAAGAAGAATTGATGTTCTTGAGATGTGGTGCTGGCAAAGAATGCTGAAAGAACCATGGACTACAAAAAGAACTAACAAATCTGCCCTGGACGAAGTGCAGCTGGAATGCTTCTTGGAAGTGAGAATGGCCAGACTTCATCTTACCTACTTTGGTCTTGTTGTCAGAAGGGGCCATTCCCTGAAGAAGAATGTCATGCTTGGTAAGGTAGAGGGTTGACAAAAGAGGGGAAAGCCTTCAATGAGATGGATTGACACAGTGGCTGTGGCAGTGGGCTCAAGTATAGCTGGGATCACGGAGCTGGCACGGGACCAGGCGGTGTTTCATTCTGCTGTGCATAGGGTCGCTATGAGTCAGAGATGACTCTACTGCACCCAACAACAACAACATGTCATTAGTCTTACAAAATTCTATCATGTGATCTCCAGTGTCATTTCTGTCACCAAGGCTATATTTTCCAATTACCGATGATTCTTCTTTGTTTCCAACTTTCACATTCTAATTACCAGCAATAATCAATCCATCTTGATTGCATGTTTGGTCAACTTCAGACTGTAGAAGTTGGTAAAAATCTTCAATTTCTTCATCTTTGGCTTTAGTGGTTAGTGTATATATTTGAATAATAGTAGTATTAACTTAGGAGCTCTGGTAGCATAGTGCCTAGGGCACTTGACTGCTAACCAGAAGACTGGCAGTTCAAACCCACCAGCCACTCCTCGGAAGGAAGGTTGGGCAATCCTACTTCTGTAGTGATACTGCCTCGGAAACCCAAGGAGGGGTCGCTATGAGTCGGGGCCGACTCGACGGCACATAACAACAACAACAACAACAGTATTAACTATTATTCAAATTTATATAACAACAACAACAACAACAGTATTAACTGGTCTTCCTTGTAGGTGTATGGATATTATCCTATCACTGACAGCATAGTACTTCAGGGTAGATCTTGAAATGTTGTTTTTGATGATGAATGCTTCAATTTGTCATTCGCAGCATAGTAGATCATATTATTATCTGATTCAAAATGACCAATACCAGTCCATTTCAGCTATTGTTTAGGGTACCAATCTTTATGTGTTCCATTTCATTTTTGACAACTTCCAATTTTCCTAGATTCATACTTTGTACATTTCATGTTTCAATTATTAATGAATGTTTGCAGCTATTTCTTCCCATTTTGAGTTGTGCCCCATCAGCAAATGAAAGTCCTGAAAGCTTTACCCCATTCAAGTCATTAAGGCTGACTCTACTTTGAGGAAGCAGCTCTTTCTCAGTTGTTTTTTGAGTGCCTTCCAACTTGAGGAGCTCATCTTCTGGCACTATGTCAGACAATGTTTCACTGCTACTCATAAGGTTTTCACTGGCCAACTTTTTCCATCCTTCTTCCCAGTCTGTCTTGGTTTGGAAGCTCCACTGAAACATGACCACCATGGGTGACCCTGCTGGTATTTGAAATACCTCTAGCCTCACAGCAACATGCAAGCCACCACAGTACATCAAATTGGCAGACAAGTGATATTGTCTGTGGACATAACTATCCTGAACATGCCTGATCTCTTTTCACTTACATACAATAAAATCCAAACCACTGGTCTCTGCAAATCTGTATCGACATTCATGGAACGGACCATGGTAATATTTATAGAAACCTGTAGGGAGTCCCTGGGTGATGCCAATGGATTAGCTGGGCTGCTAATCAAAAGTTGGAGGTTCCAGTCTACCCAGAGGCCTGGTGATCTACTTCTGAAATATTAGCCACTAAAAATTCTGTGGAGCACAGTTCTACTCTGACACATGTGGGGCCATTATGAGTTGGAATTAACTCTAAGGCAGCTGATTTATAGGTATAGGGAGTGGCTACAATTAGGATGGGGAGCTCTGGTAGCCTAGTGCCTATGGCACTTGACTGCTAACCAGAAAGCTGGCGGTTCAAACCCACCAGCCACTCCTTGGAAGGTAGGTTGGGCAATCTACTTCCATAGTGATACTGCCTTGGAAACCCAAGGAGGACTCACTATGAGTCGGTCCGACTCAATGGCACATAACAATAACAAAGCAGTTGGGATGAGTGTGAGCCTATTGCCTAAGTCTGGTAAAATTTAACCCAAAGGAAATATGAAGTTGCCTTGGAATACAGAGACTGAGTCTGTTTTAAAATCAGCAAGTCCACTGTTAAAATATACTTTTTTTAAAAGCAAGATGTCTCTTGAGGAAGCTAATGGGATAAAATATAATGTGTCTTTGTAATTCGCAGAGGCTACATTCATGTTTATTAAGAAGGAGCTTTACCTTCTCTTATGAAGTTTTGTTAAACGTTTGGTCTATGTTTTTAGTTTTCTTACCTCAGATTAGTTAATGTAGCTTTTTCTTTTCATTTTAAAATAAAGTTTATTATTGTTCTGTGGTTCCAAAGTAATGCATGTTCACTGTAGAAATTTTAGAAAAGACAGAAAATGATAAAGAAAAAATTAAAGACACCTATAAAAAAATAAGAAAAGTGTTGACTGGGAGGACCATGAGGAAACCTTCTGGGGCAATGGGAACCTGCTATATATTTATAGGGTTTTGGCTACACTGGTATATGTATTTATCAAAATTTCAGCAAATGCATATTTAAGATTAGTGCATGTAAATTTTACATTAAAAGGAAAACTGTAAACAATTACTGAACTTGGGTTAATGATATACATGCTGACAAGGTTAGGGGGAAGTATACGGATGTCTGCAGTTTACTTTGAAGTGCATAAAATAAAATAAGATGGCTTGAAGATGGATAGATGGATAGATATGTGATAAAGGAAATAAAGTAAAATGTTAATGGTAGAATCCAGATGGTGGATGTATGAGTTTTCACTATAAAATTCTTTAAACTTGGCTGCATGTTTAAGTTTGCTTGATAAAATTAGTGGGGAGTAAGTTGATTGAGTTAAAAAAAAAAATCTATAGTCTATAATTCGAACTTAAGCACCATTAATATTTTACTATACAATATTTTCATTTGTTTCAATTTTATTTCCATATACAGATCTTACTACATTTATACATATGTATTTTCAGATTTTTTTCACTCAGTATTATATTATAGTGTTCTTTTGTTACAAAAAAGGCTTCATTTATGTTATTTTTGAATTAGGATGTAATTTACATACTACTACAGAGGTACCTCAGAAGAAAGTCCTGGTGATCTACTTCCAAAAAATCAGCCTCTAAAAACCCTGTGGTGCACAGTTCTACTCTAACAAATACAAGGTTGCCATGAGTCAGAATTGACTCAATGGAGTTTTTTTTTTCACACACAGTATGACTTTTAGTGTACAGTTCTATGAGTTTTGAAAAATATATACAACAATGTAACCACTACAATTAAGAGATAGAATAGTTCCACCATCTTGGAAAAGTTCTCCATTCCCCTTTGTAGTCAACCCCTCCCCTTACATCTAGCTCCTGACAACCTGTTTTCCAAAACGTCATTAAAACAGAACCATACCATAGGAAGCCTTTGAGCCTGGCTTCTTTCACTCAAGCACAATACATTTGAAATTCATTTATGTGTTAGCAGTTTGTTCCTTTTGATTGCTGAATAGTATTCCACTGTTTGGATAAACATTAATGTAATTCTACTGTTTGTAAAAATTGATTGTGTATCACACCATGTTTTATTTATGTACCCCTTTTTATTGTTTTTAAAGAGCCTGGTAGTGCAATGGTAAAGAGCTTGGTGCTTACCAAAAGGTCATTCGCTTGAACCCACCAGTGGCTTTGAAGGGAGAAAAGACCTGGTAGTCTGCACCCATAAAGATTACAGCCTAGGAAACCTTATGAGGCAGTTCTACTCTGTCCTGTAGGGTCATTATGAGCTGGAATCAACAGCACACAACAACATTATTGTTTTACTGTAAATATCAACACAGTGAACATCTTTCTGTATGAATTGTTGTTCTTATCTAGTAGAGTCCTGGAAAGGGAATTACTAAGTTGAAGGCTATGAATATTTTAAGTACATATTAGAGTATCATTAAAAAGCTTTTTCTTGTATTTCATTTTTCCTTTTTGTGTTTTTTTCCTGTTAGGTTTTTTTTCCCCAATTGTAAGACTATAGAAACACATAGAATGCCAATCCTTTTATTTCTTTATGTGGTTCATAACAGGTGTGACTTAAACCTCCACTGGTGTTTATAATCCTCTTTTCTTTTTTGATATTATCACCATAGAACTGGCTGGAAGTTTCAGTGTAGCCAGCAAGCCTTTGAAATTCTAAATCATGGAGGCCAATCAGGAAACTTCTCTCTTCTTGGTGAAGATCTTGGAGGAACTGGACAGCAAGCAAAACACCGTTTCCTACCAGGACCTGTGCAAATCCCTGTGTGGCCGCTTTGATCTGTCCCAGCTTGCCAAGCTGAGAAGCGTGCTCTTCTACACGGCTTGCCTGGATCCCAATTTTCCAGCCACATTATTCAAAGACAAGATGAAATGCACTGTAAATAACCAGCAATCAAAGAAAATCATGGTGGCCGCGGACATTGTGACCATATTCAACCTGATCCAGATGAATGGAGGTGCTGCCAAGGAGAAGCTACCTACGAGCCGCCAGAAAGTCCACAAGAAGGAGTCATCCTTCGAGTCGTGCCGCTCGGACACTGAGATCTGCAATGCGGCTGAGTGTGAGTCCCTGAATTGTGAGCTGAACGAGCGACCTTTCAGCCGGGGTTACCCCACCCGGCAGTCGTCCAAGTGTCGAAAGATGGACTGCAAGGACTGTCCGCAGTTTGTCCCTGCCTCTGAGCCCAACTTCTTGTTGGGTGTCAGCAAGGAGGTGAAAAATCGTGCTGCATCCCTGGACAGGCTGCAGGCCCTGGCCCCGTATTCTGTTGCCAGCCCACAACCCTGTGAGATGCAGAGGACCTACTTCCCCATGAACATCGAGAACGAGTCGATTTCAGATCAGGACTCCCTACCCATCAACCCGGGCATCAAGGAGACCTTCATTTCCAATGAGGAGCCCTTCGTGGTCCAGTCCTGTGTCCAGAAAAGGAACATTTTTAAAGAGGACTTTCACAATCTAATGGCGGTGTCCCCCAGTTTGGTAGGCCCTGCTGGCAAAGCAGAAGGTGAGCATGGGGAACCCCAGAGTCGAAAGGAGTCCCACAAGCCACCCTTTTTTAACCACAGCTTTGAAATGCCCTACAACAGCCAGTACCTGAACCCCATGTATTCTCCAGTCCCTGACAAAAGGCGTGTGAAGCATGAAAGCTTAGATGACCTCCAAGCCTCTACGTATTTCGGCCCCACTCCAGTGGTGGGAGCCCAGGAAGCTCGGCGGTGTCCCGGGAGGCCAAGCAAGCAGACCCCATGGCCAGCCAAAAGTTGGAGCCTAAACACAGAAGAAGTCCCTGACTTTGAACGGTCCTTTTTCAGTCGAAATCCCTCTGAGGAGAAACTCCGTTTTCCTAATTCCAGCAGCCAGTCCCCTAATTTCCCAGGCCCAGACAGGCGCCAAACTTACCTAGCACCGAAAGAGCAACCGCAGATTCTCCCTGTTAGCTATGCAGCAAAAACGAATGGACTCAAATCTAAAGAGATCCCATCCCCCATGGACCTGGACAAACACGAACCAGTCAAAAAATTTAAGGACAAGAGCATCAGCTGCACCAGCGGGCAGCTCAGCTCAGACACCAGTAGTGTGGGCACCCAGACAGAACAGCATGTGCTGGAGCCCAAGAAATGCAAAGACTTGAGCGCCTCTGGCCAGGGCAAGTACAGCGACAGGCATGCTATGAAGCAGTCAGATGATGACTCGGAGATTGTCAGCGATGACATCAGTGACATTTTCCGCTTTCTCGATGACATGAGCATCAGTGGCTCCACCGGGGTAATACAGTCATCCTGCTACAACAGCACAGGGTCCTTGTCTCAGCTTCATAAGTCAGACTGTGACAGTTCTCCAGAGCACAACCTACCCCAGATCGCCAACGGGATCCCCAACAGCAAGGCAGACAAGGGAAACCGGCCCGAAAACCACCACCACTCGGAGGAAGAGCTGAAGACCAGTGTATGCAAACTGGTGCTCAGGATCGGTGAAATTGAACGAAAGCTTGAATCGCTGTCTGGCGTCCGCGAAGAAATCTCCCAGGTCTTGGGCAAACTAAATAAGTTGGACCAGAAAATGCAGCAGCCTGAGGTGAGCGTGCAGATCGATCTGAATTCCTTGACGAGCGAGGCTCCGTCAGACGACAGCGCCTCCCCACGGATGTTCCGTGCACACAATGGCTCCCACGGACCTAAGCTGGAGAACAACACAGACTGGTGCTGTTCTGATGCGAGCGGAAGCAACAGCGAAAGCCTACGCGTCAAGGCCTTAAAAAAAAGCCTCTTCACCAGGCCGTCCTCTAGGTCCCTGACAGAGGAGAACAGCGCTACAGAATCCAAGATCGCCAGCATCTCCAATTCCCCCCGAGACTGGCGCACCATCACTTACACCAACCGTGTGGGCCTCAATGAAGAGGAGCTGAAAGACAGAGGCCCTGGGGACAATAAGGATTGGCACCGAAAATCTAAAGAGGTAATTCAAATTTAAGTTCATATGATTGAGTTTAAGGAGCTTTGGTGGTGCAGTGATTAAGAAATTGGGCTGCTAGCCAAAAAGGTGGGCAGTTTGAATCCACCAGCTGTTCAGCAGGAGAAAGATGAGGCAGTCTGCTTCTGTAAACATTTACAGTCTTGGAAACCCTATGGGGCATTTCTAAAGGGTCACTGTGAGTCAGAATCAACTCAATGGCGGTGGGTGGGTTATAATTGAGTACAGACTCTCCAGTAGCCCTGGTATATTTTTCAAAGCCTTGAACACTGCATTCAAAAAGAGACGGGAGTGTGCTAGATTTTCATCCAGACTTGGTAGAATAGGGAGGACAAGTTGGAGAAGGGAGGACAGCATGGGCAAGTGGTTTATTCTGCCAAGTTGTCAGTCACTAGCAGGAGCCCTTGCTGCGAAGTTGCCGACAGGAGAAAGTGTGGTTCAGATATTGGACAGGTGGTGTGAGAACAGGTTTTCATAAAATGGGAGATGTGTCAAAGGCTGCAAGCACCATCAAGGATATCTTCCTGTCCTTTCTGAAATAGTAGGACACAGGCAAGGTAAACAAGGGAGATGACTTAAAAGCAAACTACCTAATATGCCCCTTATAGGTACACTGTTGGGAGCTCTGGTAGCATAGTGGCTAAGGCACTTGACTGCTCACCAGATGGCTGGCGGTTCAAACCCATCAGCCACTCCTCGGAAGGAAGGTTGGGCAGTCCTACTTCCGTAGTGATACTGCCTCGGAAACCCAAGGAGGGGTCGCTATGAGTCAGGGCTGACTCGACGGCACATAACAACAACAACAACAACAGGTACACTGTTGCATGCATGGTGTTCCTGTTTAAAAGTATGAGTTGTTTCACTATAAGATTAATAGATGATTAGTAGAGGAAAGAAGATAAATAATTTTCTCATAGCTCCACCCCCCCAAGGGCAGCAACTCTTAATAGGATGTCTTACTTACCTTTTTAATTTTGTTCATACATTGTAGTATGTTCTGCTCTTTGCATGTGAGCTGGAACAGTTGGCATATTTGCCAGAGTTGGTTCATGGAGAGACACAGCCCAGATATTAGCAGGCTTCTCTCCATCAACTTTAGAATAAGGGCTGTCCATGTGTTCAGATTCTGTCTTTGTCTTGTGCCTTGCAGTAAAGTTGATTGGTTTCAGTGGGGCCTTTGGTTCCAATTCTTCATTCTAAATGAGTTAGCGTGAACCTGTTCTGGTGATGAAATTTCAATTTATTGCTTGTTTCAATTCCCTTCCCTGCTTTTAAAGGTCATTGAGCAGCCTATGGGGACTCTAGAGGTCATAGGGGACCTGGGACTCACAGAGAGGGAATGAAGATGGTATGTATGGGCTATAGAATTCAATGCCAGAGAAGGAGGCTGACTTTCTCAAATGGAGCTTGTTGTTGTTATGTGCCGTCGAGTCGGACCCAACTCATAGCGATGCCTCCCTGGGTTTCGGAGGCAGTATCACTAAGGAAATAGATTGCCCCATCTTCCTTCCGAGGAGTGGCTGGCGGGTTTGAACCGCCAGCCTTCTGATTAGCAGTCAAGTGCCTTAGGCACAAGTTTGCACCATCCAAAATGGAGGAAAAGAAACCCCTCACCCCCTTTTAGTGATCAAAGAACCTTCTAGTATCTGTGCTGGCCACTACTCTGCTCTCCTGTAATCTCTTATAGTGTGTCATGTTGGAGAGACACCAGCAGTTATACTGTGATGAGAGGGCATGTGTGGTTCTTTTCCTCTGGTTCTGTTGTCTCTTAGTGTCCAGGGGCTGGCAGGGTTTCTGGAACCTTGAGTTTTAGATGTGATTGAAAAGTAGCCATTTAGAAGACTAGAATGGTTAGGGTCATCTATAGGAATATCAGGTTACACTGAACTAGTTAAGCCTCTAGTCTAGAAAATATCAAAGCCCCTCAAAATGAACAGAAATAGTCACAAGTTTGAGAATGAGTTGCTTGAAATAACTAGCGCAGAGTTGCTAATATCTGGGCTGAGTCTCTCCATGAACTGACCCTGGCCTGGCCTGGCCTGGCCTGGCTGCTAATCTGCCAGTCCAGATAACTCCTTACTCCGTTGCCTTCTGTGACCCCATTTCTCCCTCCTGGGAGTGGACTCTACTTTTCCTTTCCTCCTGGTTGGAGGTTCTCATGCTCTCACTACCACCTCTGGGCTGATGAATCCCAGGCCAGAGACAAGCTTTTGTCCCCTATCTCAGACTAGGAAGGACCAGTTCCCTCTGCATGTCTCACTCATGTGTCAAAATCTACAGGCTCCAAACCAGACTTTCTACTCCTTCAACGCTGGTGCACCCTCTCACTATCCCTATTCTGGCATCAGCAACTCCTCAAACTGAAGAGGCTACTCTGGCCTTTGACTTCCCCATGACTCTCTCGTATCTGATTGAGCCAGTGGGCCCTGTGGATTATTCTTTCATGATGCCTCTTGCATCTCTGTCTTTCTTTCCATTAACCACCTGTCTCCCCTCTTCCATGCCCAAGTCCAGGCTCTTTTCATATCCCACTTAAAATTTTTTGGCACATTCGTAACCGATCTCCTTCACTTATCTTCCTCACCCTTTATCTCATTTCATTGATCACTGTTGGGCTCACTTTCCTAAAGCTCTACTTTCTGTGGTTGTGTGGTGCCTCCTATTCCTTGGCTCCCGTGGCCTCAGTGGGAAGTTCCCTACTAGTCAGGATTTTGAAGCCCTCTATTCTCTGGCACCTGGGAATTTCACTACTTCTCTCAAACTAGTTTGTGACCCCATGTATGTCAGAATAGGACTAGGAGTCAGAGGGTTTTCAATGGCTGATTTTTCACAAGTATATCACCAAACCTTTTTTCAGAGGTACCTCTCAGTGGACTTGAGCCACCAACCTTTCAGTTTGCAGCCCAGAGTGTTAACTGTTTGCACCACCCAGCAAACTCCTTTCTCCCCTGGCTCTATTACAGACCAGGCCTCCTGCTCCACTTTGATGAGTCTACTTGCTTTATCCCAAATATGCTATGCTCATTAATTCAGTCATTCATTCAGCAATTAATAAATGAGCATCAATTAAGTGCTAGCGCTATGCCACCTTCAAATCTTTCTACACATGATCTTGATCACCTTCTCTGTGCTGATCTAAGTCTTATGTTCCCCTCAAGGTCTTTCCTTGTATATGTCTCTGCAAGCTTTTTTTTTAGGGATTATTTCTAGTCTCTGATATCTAGCCTTTAATCCCCTTTGTTCAGATTTAGTAGAGATAATCTTCTATTATGTATATACTGACTGCCAATTTGAATGCTAACTCCTCGAAGAGAAACAGGGAGGTAGGCATGGATAGCAGTTAAGCCTTCTACCTTTGAACTGAGAATGGGTTCCAATCCTGGCTCTACCTCTCTGACTAGTTTCCTCATCTATAAAATGATGACAATTGTAACTACAATATTGGAATATTACTGAGAAGATTAAAGGAGATCATGCACATGTAGCCCTTAGCATAGTGGTGGCCATACAGTCAGCCCCCAATTAATTGTAATGATGGCTACAGTGGCTGCTGTTATAGTTAATATTATCGACACCTCTGCTCCCAGCTTGGCACAGGTAGTGGTGATGAACAGAATAAATAAGATCAGTGAAGCCTCTTAGAAGATACTTGGTGAGTTGGAAAATAAGAGAGAGCCTCCTTTTCTTGTTTGGGTTTGGAAGTGTTTATCCTGCTCTCTGTATCAGCATCAGCAATCTTGGTGGTTGGAATGGCCAAATGTTATGCTGTATTTGGGCAAGAGCCAAAGGGTCCAGGAGCTGGTAGATGGGTATATGTCTCTGGTCCCAGGGCACATGTATGGTTATACACCCCCCCCATACACACACATTTGCTCATCCAACACACACACATACATACACACACAAACTTACTCTCACAGCACTCTAATTCATTCTCCTTCTCTTGCTTATGTACTCACACCTCTGCTCACAACCTTATTTTTTTCTTTTTCTCTTTCTATTGTTCACATACATAACCCTCTTTTTGTTCTGTTTCTTATACATGCATTTCATATCCAATCCCTTTGACACATGTTGATGGAATGCCTTATATGTGTTGGTACTATTTTGCTGAAGTAGTGGATGAAAATATGAACAAGACATTCCCATGCCTTCAAGGAACTCACAGTCCATTGTGGGGGACACAGGCAGATAGACATTTATAGTTCAGAGTGGCAAATGCTGGATTTAGGAGTCTGTACCTAGTCTTAAGATTCTGGGTGGTACAAATAGTTAATGCACTTGGCTGCTAACCAAAAGGTTGGAAGTGTGGTTCCACCCAGAGGCACTTCGAAAGAGAAGCTTGACAATCTGCTTTAAAAAACAGCCATTGAAAGCCCTATGGAGCACAGTTCTTCTCTGGCACACATGGGGCCAGCATGAGTCTGAGAAAATTCAATGGAAACTGGTTTACACAGTGTTAAGGGGTCATGTAGATGGATACTGATCGAGTCATGGTGATTCAGGGAGTGCTTCTGAGAGGAAGTGAATCTATGTGGAGATCTTAGGGCTCACAGAAGTTAGAGATAGATCAGATAGTATCAGAAGATCCCCAGTGTAACAGTGTTCACTAGGAACAGGGTTCCCTGCTATGCAACTCAAGGATGAGAATATAAATCACTGGCATGTTCCTGCTTCCCCATCATGGTCCAGACTGTTCCCTTCACCTTGAACTCCATGCAGATGTCTCTGAAAGGGAGCTCCCTGCATCCTGGAAAAATCACTAGAGGCTCCCAATATTTACTTTCTGGCATGGCTCCTTCTTTCCAGGGAAGCAGCATAGTGCCTGGGGGCATCAGCAAGCTCCTTCAGGGAAGGAATTGTATCTTTTCCTCACCTGGACCAGGTAGAAAAAGTAGAAGAAAGAGGGAGCAGTTGTATGCAGTGGTTAAGCAAAGAATCTCTGATTATCAGATCTAAGCACTGCTCCACTCCTTACCAGCTGTGTGGCCTGGGGTGGGTGATGGAATCTTTCTGGACTCAATTTCCTTACTGTACAATGGTGTTAATAATATATTGATGGTGTGAGGATTAGATAAAATAATTTCTTTCTGGGACAGAAATATTAGGTCTTATTGGTATTATTAAGGAGCTCTGGTGGTGCAGTGGTTGAAGCATTTGGCTGCTAACCAAAAGGTCAGCAGTTGGAACCTACCAGCCGCTCAGTGGAAGAAAGATGAGGCAGTCTGCTTCAGTAAAGATTTACAGCCTTGGAAATCCTATGGGGCAGTTCTACTCTGTCCAATAGTGTCTCTATGAGTCCGAATGACTTGGTGGCAGTGGATTTGTTGTTGTTGTTGTTTTAATTAGTATTATTAAGGAAGTCCCTAGGTGGCACAATGGCTAATCCCTAGACACCTCAGGAAGAAAGGCCTGATGATCTAGTTCTGAAAGAAATTGGAAACCTCACATACAGTTCCACTCTGACACATGTGGGGTCTCCATGAATTGGAATCGGCTTGAGGGCAATAGGTTTGGTTATGGTTGTTAGTATTATGATCATTGTAATCTTTTCTCAGAGAATTTTCCACCATTCAGGTATACCTCATCTTTGTTTTAAATAAGTGCATTTTGCTACCTATGTGGTCTAGTGATTAAAACTGTAATTGCACTGTGAAATCAGATGGTGTCTGTGCCGCTTTTTGGGACTTTTCTATACCCCTCTGCAGGCAGACAGGCAGTACGACATCCCCCCGCAACATCGGCTTCCCAAGCAGCCCAAAGACAGCAGCTTCCTGGTGGAACAAGTGTTCAGTCCTCACCCCTACCCCGCCTCCCTCAAGGCTCACATGAAGAGCAACCCGCTGTACACTGACATGCGGCTGACGGAGTTGGCGGAGGTGAAGCGAAGCCAGCCTTCTTGGACCATCGAAGAGTATGCACGAAACGCAGGCGACAAGGGCAAGCTGACAGCTCTGGACCTGCAGGTGAGCCTTTCTCTGCCCCAGGGAGGGGGGAGCCCAGCCATACCCTGGCAGGTGCAAGAATGGATCATGGATGGTGTAGACCAGCCCTCTCCCCACCCTTTAGCTCCCTGGGCCCCCACCATGGAATTCTGAATTTTAATAAGTCATAGAGCAGATTTTTTTTTTTTTTAACAAGGGGATTGTTGTTTTGCTTATTTGTTTTAAAACATTTAGAAGTGTTTTCTTTTCTTTTTTTCAACATCTGATTTGCTAAAGATGCATTTAAGACTCCGTACCAAGTGCAGATTCTAATATTTGCTCACAAGACCCGAGCCAAACTGTTTAATGAAATACAGGCTGATTTCTCCTTCCATATGTAGCACGTGGGATAAGCATATTTGTGGGAGCCAAGCTATGGATTATGTTTCCATATGGAGCAGCCCCAGGTAAGAGCCATCCCCCGAAGCTCTGTGAATGCAGTTGTGGCTGGAGGGCATGTGTTCTGTTCACCCACAAGCAGGGCTGGGTTCTGGCCACACTTTTCTTTTGGTGGGCAGCTCCATCTGGTTCCATTCCCACCACATCTATCTGTGTCCCCACATCCCTGTAGGAACAAAGCAAGCCCCTGTCCTCCACTTGAAGACTTCGTCTTGTGCACGGTAAGGCCATATCCCTAGTGGTGCCATCATGGATGGCCCCAGAATGGCCATACCACTTAAAATGCAATTGGGGAGAGCCACCTATGAGGTTGGTATGGCAGGGCTCCCCTGAAATGGCCTTGCTATAAAACAAAGTTAGGCTGCAGACCACACAGTGCTGTGTGGTAGAGAGAAGAGAGCCATGGATTCCGGCGGTGCTGGGTTCTAAGTGCTCCTTAGCTGGATGTGTTGGAGTTGTCACATCACTTGCCAAAGCCACAGTTCCTTCACTTGTTAAATGGGCATGATAATATCCAATTTGCAGAGTGATTGTGAAAATTGAAAATCATGTATTCAAAGCATCTGACATTGAGTTGGTACTGAAAAAGAAGGCATTGGGGGCTGGCATTATGATGCTGGAACCAATGAATTTTGTGTCCCAGTCCCTCAGTTCAAGCCTCAGTGGCCTGTGAGGCAGGGAATGCTGATGCCCTCTCCATATTACACATGAGGAGATGGACGCCCTAGAAACTTAATAACTTGCCCCAGGTCAGATATGTCTAAATTCATACTGGACCATCCAACAGGAAGTCTCATGTCTCATGTTCTTTCTCTTCTGTTACCTCTACACCACTGCTTTTTTGTTCTTTCTGTTGATGGAGTTTAATGGAGCATTATGTCATAAAAAATTGTTGAAATGACATTTGTTTAGATCAGTGTTTAGAGGACAGCAATTATGGGAAGGGACAGCTCTGAAAGGCCAGATCTTGAAAGGGAGGTTTTCAGTGGCAGCTGAAGGCTCCCTGAGCCCCTCTAAGCCCCTCTCGCCTCATGCATGTCATATCCCTGTGTGTGCTGCATGTCACTTGTCCCCTCAGGCCACTTTGTCTCTTGTTGTCGTCCTGCCGACAAGCAGATGTGAGAGGGATTTGGTTTTCCCCCAGATGGGTCCCTGTGCAGCTCTGCTATGGATGCCATGCTGCCCTCCCTACCCATTTGAATACCATGCACAATAGGCAAGTTCAAAAGAAAGCAAATAGAGGTGTGAATGGCTCAATTGGTAGAATAATCAATATTTCACTAGTATCATAGGATGAGTCTGAAAGGGTTAGGTGAATTTAATGAGCCATGGATTGAGATATATCTTTTTCAAGTTTGGATACAGGTGGGGAAGGGTTTGGGGCAATTTTACTCATGAGGTTTAAATACATGAGATTTAAAAATTGGGCCACAGAGCTTTAAGTAACATCACTTAAAAACGCCATATATCTATATCTATATCTATCTATCTATCTATCTGTCTATCTATCTATATATCTATCTATCTATCTGTCTATCTATCTATCGTGTTATAGTGTATCCAGTTGCCCAAAATATGAGAAAACAGAGTTCAGTTGCCTTGGGAGGATGTCTGCAGCACAGCCAATGAAGAAGCATCACAAGGGAGGCAGAAAAGCACTGCCTTATTCTTTTTTGAGATCCAGGTGCTGTCTTGGTGCTGCTTTGGCATCTGGGCAAGCTCCTAGGGTCCCTTGGTATCCAGATATAAGTCTGCCATCAGTGGTACCCAACTGAGGGTGTCAGTGGTGCGGGTCCTGTTTCAATTCCCAGTGTTTGGTAGGCCTAATTAACAACTGGTGAAGACATTCTGCTGCTAACCAAAGGTCAGTGGTTTGAACCTACCAGCTACTCTGCAGGAGAATGATTAGGCAGTCTGCTTCCATAAAGATTTATGGCCTTGGAATCCTATAGGGCAGTACTCTGTCTGAATAGGGTCACTATGAGTTAGAATTGACTCGATGGCAGTGGGTTTAATTAACAATTGTGTATGCTTCCCTGTGTCCCTTGAAACCTTGCTATTATCTACCTCTCTGCTACTTGGTGCCATTAGAGCTTGCAGTTATTGCGGGGGTGGGGGGAACTAATTAAAAATAGTTTATTTCACAGGCTGAATCTCAGCCCATAAAGTGTATATAGCTATGAAAGGAAGCCAATTTCCTTTTATCTGAGCTGGAGGGAACAAGGCACAAACTGTGAGGTGATGGTTGCACACTGTTTATCTTCTAGGCCAGCCCTGGGAAGATTGGGGAGAAAAGGAGATTGTATCCCTATGGCCAGAGCTTCTCTTCATGGGGCCAGGTCCAGAAAGATGCTGGTCCAGGGCTCAACTTGAACTCCACTTTTGTGGGCACATTGCCAAGCCCCTGCAGACCGGTCTCCCAGCAAAATAATTGGGTCCATCTTTCTGTTCCACATAAACAGACAGATAGACTCACTGCCATCAAGTCAGAGCTGACTCATAGTGACCCCTCCTTGCGTTTCCAAGGTGGTATCACTATGCAAGTAGATTGCCCAACCTTCCTTCCGAGGAGTGGCTGGTGGGTTTGAACTGCCAGCCTTCTGGCTAGCAGTCAAATGCCTTAGACACTATGCCACCA